CCGCCCCTCCCGGGCCTCCCCCTGCGACGCCGTCAGGTGTGGCCTGGCCCGCATCTCCGGGATCTGCGGGAGGCTGGCACAGAACCGGGCCGGATCACACCGGTACCGACCCGAATCCGGCGAGGACCGGGACTGCGTGGTGTGCCTGGACCGGCTCCGGGAGGGGGACGAGGTGCGCACGTTAGCCTGCCGACACGTGTTCCACTGGGCGTGCCTCGACTCGTGGCTCGACCAGCTCAACCTCATCTGCCCCCTCTGCCGCGCGCCGGTCGAGTCCGAGGAGCGCGTGGAGAATAAACGGAGGCGCGTGGATGGTGATAGCCTACTCGAGTGGTTCCAGGCGGCCCCTTGAGGCGGCGCGTGGATACGAAGACGATGGCTTGTGCTGTTTTTGACATTTTCTCTCTCTTTTGTTTTTGGCTTTCTGTTTTGAACCCTCTGGGGGGTGTTAAAAAACCCGGGTTTTTTTAGGGGTTTCTTTAGAGGGCTCCTTCTGATCTGATGCTTGAGTAAGCTTCTGTTCTTTTTTTCTTGTTCGTCTTTTACTTATGTTTTTCTTTTTTTTTTTAAATAAAAAATAAAATTTCGAGTACAGAATATTCGTATTAGTATGTAGTTGTCAAGAAGCTCTTCAATAATGTTTTAATTGTATTCGGATTTTTTTTTTATTATTGTTAGTTAATTATTGATTTTAGATGCTAGAGAAAAAGAAAATTAAATATTTTGAACTGTGAAAGTAACAAATTAAATCAATCTTGTGATTTATTTGAATTTAATTAAAGATTAAAAACTTGGATTTATTTGAGAATCTCGTGCATCGCACGAGATTTCGTTAAAAAAATTATTTTTTACAAAATTTTATTTTAACAATATTTCAGCCGTTGATTCATTTATATTAATATAAATACTATTTTAACATATGTATTTATTTTTTAATAAAAATAATAACAATTTTACATATTATGGTTCATCATAATATTCAAATATTATTTTATTCAAATATTATTTTATTCAACAATTTATTATCGTATAATATCAATTAGTACAACGTCTGTGTATTACACGGGTGCTTGCTAATTTTTTCCTTAAAATTTAAAATTAATAAGAAAAAGTAGTTGAAAATTTAAATACCTTTTATAAATATATATATATATATATATTATTATATATTTAGTATGACACTTTTTATTTGTCTGACTTACTTGTGTTATATTATAATAATTTGTTTAACTTACAACATATAACTACATTAAACATAAATATATCTACTGAGAAATAATTTTATTTTTTTAATAAATTATAGTAAATATTATTATTTTTTATTATTATAAAAATAAATATAATTTATTTATTTTATATATACACCAATATGAATGTCAAAGCGAAGATCATGAAAAGGTTATTAATTTGATATATTATGTATGTAAAATTGATAAAAAATACAAAAATTATCAACTTTTAAAATAGATTTATAATTCAATAGCTAATTGAAGAAAACAAATTAAAAGACATGAATATATTAATCACTTAGTGTCTCACTATGTAAAATTATAAAGAATTTAAAGGATTATATTAGTACAAGTGATATTAAAATACCTAAGTTAGCTAAATAATATTTATGGAATTGCCGAACCTAGATTATTAATTATTAATATATCAGTATTATTTGTCCAAACCTAATTACGAAGCATGATTCTTTGCGAAGTATGAATCCGAAGCACCAGAAGCAGTCACGTAGGCTCAGCGCATTCGGGAATTATATATAGGGAATATTATTTATAACATTCATAGAAGTAATATTCATTTTTATACAATGATAAATATTTAATGTATATTATTATTATTTATTGATATGATTAGTTTAAAAATATATAAGTAAATCTAAGGTTTGTTAGGAATGTGATAGATCTCGATATTTTAGGTACGTACAAATATATGATATATATGTACAGATATATGATATGAACATCTTGAGATACAAAAATTTTTTTTATGTGATTTATTACCTTAATAAATCAACCGTAATTGCTTAAATTGTATTTTTAATAAATACCATGAAGTGCTTAAATAGTTTCCAAAATTAGTAAACAATATTTTTTTGGCAGGAAATAGTTACTAATTAAAAAATAATCAAACTTTTTATATATATATAGATAATGCATAATGGTCAATTGATTAGAAAGTATTAACATATAAATGTTACAAATAAGAAACTTTTTATGTTGAATATATTGATAATTAAAGAGAAATTAGTAACATAGCTTGTCATGCAATATATTTTTTTTGTTAATAATAATATTCAAATAGCGAGATAATCAAACACAAATCGTCAAATACCAGATAATACAATTCGAAAGCTCGACTCATCTCTTGCCTATTACACAAATCGTCAAATATCAAACCATACAATTTGAGAGCTCCACTCATCTCTTGCCCACGGGTGAATTTACATGTAATAATAG